CTTCTCCTGAGAAGGGGAAGATGTCCTGAAATGCTGAAACATCCCTCAACCACCTTCATTTCCCTAAGACTAAATGGACAAGGAAGCAGTAAAGACATTTCACACAGACAGATGCCAAGACAATGTCGCATCAGCAGACCCCAGTTCACAGAGCCAGGGGGCGCCCTGCTTGAGATGAGACTAATCTGGGCATCTAGGAATCCCAATCTGGTGGCTTGAGTCACGGGCTCACGGGCTGAATCGGTTCTAATTCCACATGTGAGGGCAGAGCGCAGGATGAGGCGACCATTTGCATGCAGGCGCATCTGGAAACCTACAGGACCCCATTCAAGTGGGAGCTGAGCCCGTGGCACTGGGGATGGGCAGGAGGTCCAGGCTCAAGTGTAAGTGGCAGAACTGTCCGGCACAGTTGACTGACTGAGTCAGGAAACTCCAGACTGAAGAAAGGGGATGGGAACTGAGCACAGGGATTAACTGCACTCAGGAGCAGGAGAAATACAAGGGATAGAGGAAAGAAACCATCAGGGACCAGGACAAAAGCTGACCCTAAAAAATTTACACCTTCTAGAAAACTGCGATTGAGGGCCAAACATCTCATGCTATCTGACAAAATATGGGTAAGAGTGAGCACCCCTGAAAGTGAGGGACCCTGAATCTGGCTCCTACTGGATCTCTTTGTTTTGTTTTGGCCACTCCTGTATTGCAACCATTTTTGTATTTGGACGCATTTGATGAAATTAAAATTGATTTTACATCTGGCTGGTTTAATAAAAGCAACTGGCTGCTACTGAAAAGCTAATGTAGCAGAACAAGACAGTGCTAAAAACATGTAAAAAAATAGCCAGAGCCTTTTTCCTGCCCAAATCAATAATTCAAATTCCCTCATGTTGGGAAGTGACCAAAGATATACTGACAAGGACTGAATTAGGGCGGTAAAGAATTGAGCCTTGCATCCAAGCCTGATAAAGTGGCAGTAAACTGACCTTGAGATCCTGAATGGGACTAGCTGAAGGTGACAGCGAACTGGGCCTCACATCAAGGACACAGCGATGAGTCACCCCCTTTAGAATCTGAGTTGGGAATCTATGTAACAGACGCTTTCCCCCTTATTGGGTTGGCAGTAGCTGCGGACCCCACTCTAGGGACTCCGTCTCAGCTGCTGTCCGGGAGCAATAAACTCTGCTTGCTCAGCCTTTCTGCCTCCCGCCTTCCTTTCTTGTGGCCGGTCACAGAAGTTGGGACAAAACACCTCATTCTACTATCTTCCAGATGTGCACACTAAATTAAGCAGCGGGGAAAACAAGAAAACCTTGGGAACCAGAAAGCGTAAGCCTTTGTTGTTTGGCCTTCCAGAAGAAACTCTACTGTCTCTCTTTTAGTAGTAGAGCTGAGTAAACTTTTTCATTCCTTACCCTGGCCTTGCTTTGATCTTTTTAGGATGCTTTAATGAAAGGGCCATTAGTAACTAAAAATAAAATTTCTTTTTAATTTGCTAATTTTTCACTATAATACAAATAGAAATATACTTGAAACTATATGAATTTATATGCCTGTTTTATCATTAACAAATTGCTTGTCCAGCTGCAGAAAAAAATAATCATAATAAGAACATTTTGCTTGCTGGGTGTGTCTTTCTTTAAAAAATGATAAATGGGGCCCTCCCTGGTGGGGCAGCGGTTTAAAGCACAGCACTAAGAAGCTAAAGCCACTTCCCCATGAGTTCGATCCCCGCCTGCCCCGGAGGTGACCACATGGCGCGGAAGACCTCTCCTGACATGCCCACTG